GACAAGTGTGTCTTTGTTCATGGTGACCACAGAGATTTTAAGCCGTGACTTCACTCTCTGCTCTGTGATGTTTTAATCACATTAATTTCAAAGCCCAATAATCACCGGCGATTCCTTTCCTTGTTTCATAATCAGTTGATGTCGTAATCATTTTGACAAGCCCTGACTGCTAATGATTTTTCTTTTGAAGCCACCTGACCCTGAGTGTTGCATCAACTTTACAGTTTTACCATGAAAAAACACCTGATAACTCCTGGGGGGAGTTTGAGAATCTTCATAGAGTCATGGTAATATTAAAATGATATAAGACAAAGTAGAGAATAATGTGTTTGCCCTAGTACTTTTGCTATTAAAAGGAGTGTATTTTTCAACCAGGCACAGAGAGATTTATGTCAACAGAAAGCCATCTCTGAGGTGTGACCAAAGCAACAACAAAAAACTGCTTCACTGTGCAAGGAAATCTGATTACATCAGTCCAAGGCAATGACAGTCTGGTGAGAAACCCCTTAAATTTTATGGAAGGCTACGCTGAAGGTTGCAGTTTTAGACGCTAGGGCCTAAAAAAATCCCTTAGGCCTGCAGCTCAAACAGCTCTCTTAAAATGTTCAGGCCGATTCAGGCTGAGGGTGTTGTCAATACAGAAGTGTTTCATATTACTTCAACTCACATATCAGTGATCAAAACAAAAAAGACAAACAGCTCCACCTCTATGGTGTTTGCTTTGGTTTAGCAGAACTGACTGTGAAGCTGCTCTACAGGTTCTGGTTCTTCCTTTCTGCTTCGTATATATGTCTTGTCTGTGAGCCATCACCATTTGTTACCCGAACATCTTTACTCCTTGGTATAAAAGGAAAGAACATCATGCTACATGTATGACCCAGAAAAATGAATCCAGCAGCTCGTCTGCTCTTCCTCTCAGAGCTATCGACTGATCCTTGAATCATTCTGTTCTGTTCTGTTCTTTCTGCTGCTCTGAACAGTCTCTGCTTCATGTTATGCCCTGTTCGAATACCTCTAATCTGTCAGTGTTTTTGCTTGTTTCCATAGCGATGACTCCCAGGCTTCAGGTAGGCACAGCGAGAGTGACAATACCTCTCTCATTATTACAAAACCTCCGTGAGGCTAGAAGGAAAATATTCGCACATTAAATCGGCTGTCCTTGAGTGCTCTTGAAGATTCTTTTTTCATATCTTGCTAAAGATCAAGTGTCTAATGTGAAGTGTTCAATGCATTGCGCAGAAAGAAGACTTTTGCACTATTTCAAATCAAATTGTATCCATTTTAATTGTGAAGTAAGAATTATTTAGAAGTAAGAAGTCTAATTTTATAACTAAATCGATTTCACTAAACAAACCACAAAAAAGCACTAATATTCACAAAACTATGAATTATTGTGATTTTATTCAAAATTACCTCTATGCAGTCTTTAGGTTGAACCAAAGCCTTTAGTCTGTATCTAAAATGATTAATTACCTAATATTATATGTATAAGACTTTTAAGGTAGCATGCAACAGTTTCTGCTCTATTTATAAATTATAGGTGTTTTTCAATGTTGGATATGTTTAAATATGTGAAGCTCAAGTTTCATAACTTTGTACATAACATGGACAAACACGTGTCAACTTCGTTATTTACAGCTTATATATGTTTCCCACTAAATATCACATGGGTGAATTAAATAAAAACAGTCTGTGAATATATCCCTGAGGGACTCAATACTGGAGTAAACACTGGAAACTGCATCTTCAGGTGTTACTTAAACAACACTTCCTGACCAGTGCGAGGCTGTTACAGGCTGTTACAGAGTATTGCGTCACAGGATCGTCACCTTTAGGGTTTTCAGAATGAGTATTTGTGGGTAGTATTGGACACTGTACTGATACTGGTATGGGTATAGGTGCGCTCTTCATCAGTGATAAATAAAGTACTGAACTATATGAGAATAGAACGAGCAGAAACCTGTATCTCTAGTGTGAATATCTTCAGTGTCTGAAATCTGCTGCTCTACAGACAGTCTAACAGTGTTAACTAGCATCGTAGCAACAGGAACCTCCAAACTGAATATTTCTTACATCACCTGAGCTTTAAAAAGTACCTCCTTAACAAGAGCCAAAACCACACTGAAGACAAAAAGTGAACATTTCCCTAAGCTAAGCTTCCCACACTCCCTCCCTCCTCGCTCCACCCGCCTCTCCGTGGAATGACTGATGTTGCCTAAACTTTGGGCTGATGTACGTGACTGCCTTCATGATTCAACCTTGTGTTAAATATAAGAATCTGCAGTGAGAAGAGACGAGGCGCTACGGAAAGACATTCCTCAAAACCGCTGCCATAAAACAATAAGCAACGATAAGCAGAATTAAAAAAGAAAAAGTAACTTTTTTGGGGGGGTGGAAATCCCTTTTTCATTTATGCACTGAAAACTCCTTGCAGCCAGAATGCACAACAGAGATAAGAGTAAGTCAATTAACAAATTAAGCTTGATTAAATGTTCCCTCCACTATCTAATCATTTAAACACATGCACAATGTGGCCATTTATCCCAGAGAGATCTGCTCTACTGCAGGCAGTCACAGTAGATTATATAAGATATTGTTCTTTTATGGTATTCTAGAATCTGGGAAAAGTTTGTGACATTTTTGGGCACGAGAAAAACACAATACAACGACTGAGTGTTAATGAAAATGTGGTTAATAATTATTAATTATTGTGGTCAATTATTGCAGCAAGTCACTGATGAACTACAATACTGTGAACTGATTTGTGTGTTTTTGTTCAACATTTATGTTTATGTTGACAAAAGCCATAGACTTAACGCAAAACAAGCAAACATTGAATGAAAACTGATAATAATGCTCATTTGAAACACAAGTAAATGCTAAAATAATAGAAAAAACTACTGCCACTACAGTCTGGCCAGTGGTTTAGTATCACATCCAGAGAATTGCTTTACATTTACATTTTTAAAAATTTGTTTTCAGGACATTAAAAAAGTTGAGACACAACAGTGTTTTCACTGTGTTTCTTTGGAAGAACACTTCAATAAATATATACAAAGCAGATGCACTTAGATTATTTGAGAAACTGTTGGTTTGACCCAGTTCCCCTGAACTGCCTGGAGATCCTGATTAAACTGGTTAATGTTCAAACTCCCACTCCCAAAGTAAGAAGAGGGGTTTTACAAAGATGTTTAAGCTGCTGGATAACTTAAAATGTTTTATTCAGTTGATCATGGTTGGAGCTGAAAAATGACTGAATCGTGTTGAACAGGAGCTGGAGTAGAACTTGGAATTCATCAAAGATGAGGTTGAGGACACAAGAGGGATGCGGTACGGTGTAAGTCTTTTAAAAACAACGGCATCAGCTCCGAGCCTGAAATTAATGGAGCGCTCACCAGAGAGGACTCCAGTGAAAATCTGTATTTTTAATTGATTGGATCAAAGCAGAGAGTTGGACTGAATGGCGGTGTTTAAGTGATCTGGAACTACAGTTCATGAATATGGATGGAGAGTGTGCACAAAGAATTGAACATTAGCTGGACAGATTAGGAGGTCCAAACAAAGTGAGTGGGACATTTTAATACAGTGTGATTTCCAAACAGTGGAACAAATAAAGATAATTCTGAAATTCAAATTATTCTTGCTTTCCACATTTAGAAGTATTTCCAATTATTTAGTATGTAATCGCACCGGATTAGCTCAAATGGTCAATTAGCGCTGAATCGATGCTCGTATATATTTTACATACATGCCTGCAGATTTTTTTTAAATTTCTAAAATCATGTTTGTTGCAAAATACAGAATAGCCAGGCTAGGGCACTGTTTTAAACGTCACATTTTGTCTTGATTTATATTCATGAAAAAAATGTTATCATCACTCATTTTTTAAATCAATTACTATCTCAAGTGACCCCATTTGAATTCCAGGCAACCCCACATGGGGTCCCGACCTCAAGGTTGAAAAGCATTGAATAACCGGCTTTGCCAAAGTTTCTCCAAAACCACAGAGAATAATTTTCTTAAAAGCTTCAGGACCAAATATCCACTTGGGTTCATTAACTATTTTAACATTAAACCTAAACTGCCTCTTTGAGCCTCTTCCGTCTCACACATTTAATCTCTTCCCCTCCCGTCTCCTGGCTGTACTGCACCTGTCCACTACAGATTCACCTGACTGCACTCTGCTGCCAACTCCCTGCACAGCTGTTACTGTTTGTGCTCATTAGCTTCTCAGTAAATCCAAGCGAGCAGCATTTCAACCTGCACTCGTCTGAGTGGACGGAGGAGCTGCCGAGGTGTTGGACCAGTCAAGGTTCGTCATCTCCAACTCGTTGATCTAATCTGTTCTGCACTGTCTGTTGAGTCTTGATCTAACACGACTTCAGAATGTCTTAACACATTCTCAAACTGGCTTTGTTTTCACAGTAACAAACAGCTGCTCTGTGGCTCAGAGCCATTCTGCCTCTTCAGACCGCCCATTAACGTCCAGTGATTAGTGATCATGGACAGAGAGCACAGAGAACAGATGTGAACAGTCAATGGAGTCTACGATGTAACATCTAAAGAAAAAAAAAACAGTCCTGGACAGCGTTTAGCATTTAGCGCTCTGCTGGTGCTAAATGTTAAAGGCAGAGTGAAGCTGTAGCAGTCTTTACCTAAAAAAAACCAACAGTAACATAGCAGTGGTCAGCTGGTCTTTGGAGTGGAGTGATGTGGAACAAGCAGCAGGATCACGTTGCTGTCAGGAGGTGAGTATTTAAGGATTCAAATGTCTCTAATCTCCATTCTGTAATTTCAGGTTGTAATGTTTTTTTTAGAAAGTGAGGATGTTGCAGCAGTACACATCTATTTTTACCTGATTTCACAGATCATTTAAACAGGTGTTTAGAGCACCCTCTGCAGAGAGGAACAGGGAGCTACGGTGGAAAATCAAGTTTAATGTACTAGAAAATCTACTATATGTTACATTACTATATATTACTTTGGTGCTTCCTATTTAATTTGTCTCTTAACCTCTTGATTTTAAAGAAAAAACCCACGCTAATATCAGTTTTTTTTTTCCTATGGAAATATTCTCACCTGAAACACATTCAAATCCCTCCAGAGTCAATGATGTGGAGACTAACCATAAAAGGCAGATCTGCTGTTTCGTTGTCATGCATTTAGAATGAACACAAATGTGCAAACGGTAATGAACCCAGTTGGAAATGTACTGTAAATTAACTAGCGCGACACTACTGCAGGTTCTGAGTGGCTTCTTCTATTATAGTACTTAAAATAAACCATACATATTAATATCTTAATTGAATGCATTACATTACAGTATGTCTATGAGGCACATGTGGTCCTGTAGTTTTAGACGCCCTCCAGTGAAATCCAATCATGTTAACAGTGCTCCAGCGCAGTGGTTTCACAGAAATGACTGTGACTTTTTATTGGTTGCGTCCCGTTGTCAAGCACAGATATTTCTTCCTCTTAAAAAAACCAAAACATTTACAGAACCACTGTAAAAACCTTTATTTCACTGGACCACATGGAGATTTGAATCTGTTTAACAAGTCAGGATGTCTATTTATGATGTGTTACATCAATGAAAAAATAAACAAATGCAACCTCATTACAGAGAGTCTCACCAGGCCTGTTCTGCAGCAGTTTCTTATTTCTCCACGGCAACAGCATCTGACACGTCTACTGTAAACTCACCGTTCCTACAATTAGCAGGTCAGTGGACTCAAACACTCACTATGTCACTTTAATGGTATGTTCTTTTATATGGACTCAGTTAACGTTCTGTATTCTGTTGTTTTGTTGAGGTTAACGTTCATCCCTTGTACCATGATGTTTTTTAATTCTTGGTCTGACTGTCAAAATGGCAGCATTTTCACTGCACTGTTCTAGGCTCCCAGGTGCATTTCATGTGGCGGAGGTCACATTGTGGGACAGTGGTCAGTGCTTTAGTTTAAAGCATAGTTATCCTGTTAACATTGTGATAGTTTAAAAGTCTGTGCTGATCTACGAGCCAGAACCAAGGACACAGAACGCCCTGTCTTCTGTTTATGAAAGAGAGTAAAATAATATTAGCGGGCCTGATGTAAAGGTCCAGGTTGTTTTAAAGCTGTTCAAAAGGACACCAATAAGTCAGAGAAGTAAATTTATCCCAGCCTTAAATAGTTTTGTAGATAAAACGGAGGCTTGTGAATTTAATCCCACATTTTAATAGAAAGTGTAGTAAAACCTAAACTGAGGTGATTACTTAACTTAACAATGGGTAACATCAGCATTTCAGCTTAGCTGTGAATAACTCTATGAAAGTAAATGCTGCAGTCATGGAGAACCAGTGCAGGTCCAGCAGTGTTCATGGACACTGTGTCTCTGTGATCGTGTGGAAGTGAATTTGAAAAAAAAAAAAAACACTTAAGAGCCATGGTGAGAATTGAGGGACACTGTTGAATCTAATTTAATCTAACCAATCAGTAACAGTTACCTGATCAATGATGTCACTGTGTGAGAATGTTGTTTCTTACTGTCATAGATGTTAAGTGGACTCCTGCTCCTGTTTCAGAGTATGTTTGCAGTGATCGCAGTAAAGACTTTCTAATACAAACAAATACACGAAGTAGTATTCCATTTGTGTACCAATACTGATACATCCTTATGTTGAACTAATTACTACTCCTCCTTCTTCTCTTCTCACTTCAACTATTTGCATTTAAAAAGAAAAAAGTGATCTTTTTTCTTTTTTTTAAAAAAAAGATCACCATCTCTGTGATGTCACAAAGATTTGTAGTGACAGTGACGGTTTTGCTGCTTATGGACAATTTAGCCATTAGTCTCGTGCAGTGAGATCTTCTGTTTTCTCTCTCGTCTTTGCTCATTTATCCATCTTTACCAGTCTGTAAACAGTGCAACATTTGGACTTATCTCTACAGTTCTACTCCGTCGAAGACAAAGCGCTGTCAGTCTTTTTTCTTTGTAAGCCCGACTGGTGTTTATTTGTCATTTTTATGTTCAGTTAAAGGAGATGTTTCTCTGTTTAATTGGGACCTTGATGGAGTTTTCACACTGGGGTTAACTCAGGCCTCGTATAACTATTCAAGAACATCACCAGACAGAGGGACCTGGTGGGTAATAGCAAGTAGAGATGATCCAATAAGGGTAATGGTTTCTTTAATTGATTTGGGAGGCAGAGAGTCGGGGACAAAGGAAGATTAGAGTGTGGGAAACGGTATCAATCAAACCGCCATGAGAGACAGCGAAGGGGCTGTCGAGTTTGACGAGACAAAAATGAGAGCAGTCGGAAACGGTTAGGAGACAATTAATGAGGGCAGGACGCAGTGAGTGTCCTAATTTTGTTGATTTTGGAGCTGTTTAAAACGTCACAGGCGTGACAGAGGGACAGTGATTGATTACAGAATAAATATTAAAATATATTTCATGTATCCTGTTTGTCAATTTAGATGACACACAGATGATTTTTATGATTGTGAAAAGTAAAGTAAAATCTTTATGAAATGCATTAATTAGAGAAATGTCAAGGTAGAACTGCACACATTCATTTGGATTTACCACATACAAACTAAAAAATGCACTAAAGTTAGGCATGTATTTCACCTCATTGTCATTTCACCCAGATAATACTGATTCATACACAACAGCCCAATAGGTGGCAGTAAGTCACCTTAAGTTCCTGTGTAATTTCAATGTCACCACGATCAGATTTCAGACATCTACATGTTGATTTGGTCATGTGAGATTACACACATGGATGATGTTACCATTTGGTTTAAGGTAAAGGTGAAGGGATTTTCAACTATAACAATGAAGTTGTTATTAGGATCAAACACGTGAAGCCAGAAAAACTGAGCATTTGATCAGGATTCTAAATCCATACCAAATAAAAACAGGCCACTGTTGAAACAACTATAAAAAGAGGAACATCCAGGCTCCAAAACTGAAGTCGTGTTTTTATTCTTCAGGGGTTTGTTCCATTAAAATAACTTAAATGCTGTCGTAGATAAATGCCTGAGACTAAACTGAAACAAATTGAATCAGACAAAGATTCAACATCAGCTTTTATTTACAGAAGTACACAATTTGTTTGTATTACTTATAATGATTTAGTCTAAAGAGCAAAGAGAAATAAACACAGGTTAGATCTGATAATAGACAAATATCCAAATATGCATTACATTTTTCACATAATTTACATTACATGATTATGTATAGTTTACATATTTTATATGAGCAATATAATTCAATGCATATATACATATATTCTTTTTTAACTCAAGAATACATTTGTAACAATGTATGGTCAAAATAGATAGCAAAAACATCTAAATGTTAATCCAAAAACAATAAGTTGCAAAATATGATACACAAAATATCTTTTATATAAGATCTTTTATTCCAAAAACACAAAAACTGTTCAAGAAGTTTCCAAGGTGGTGCTATTACTGACCCTGACCTCTGCCCCCCCCCCCCCCCCCCCAACTTAACCATAACCCTGTGTGTGATCTGGAACTATTGTCAGGTGTGATTACTAGTGGAGAGCAGTTGAAAATGCAGGAACAAGGCCTGAGAGAGAATCTCCTGGGAACTGCTGCGGTGCGATGTGCAAAAACCCCAGAGGATTATGGGAGATACAGCTCCATAAGAGTCACTGAAGCAGATGTTCTGTAGTTTAAATACAAAGCCTTAATTAATTATTGGCTGTAGTGTAGTGTGTGATGTCACGATGATGAAGAAGAGACCATTTCTGTGAAATTCTACAACCAAACAGTATTTTTGTACCAGATGGAGAAAAGACAGTGTCCCTGGACAGATGTCCAGATCTGATAGATACACTACAGATATGTCTTCTAGGGTGAAGATCATTTTGGACAACCTGCAGTTTCATAAGGCAGAGTCAAGCAGCAGAAATTATGGCCAAAAATGATGTAAACCTCTACAAAGTGAAGAAATGAATGAGGCTAAGTGAATAAGTGGAGCCAGGAGAAATGTTTAGAGAGAATATCAGAGGGAGAAATTCTACACATGAACATTCCCTTTGACTGGGCTGCCTGTAAGCCTCATTTATTCTTCAGGTAATGTAAACTCAATGATGCTGCGATGTAGTAATGGCTGCTGTCATTGGAGGTAAAGATAGAAGGCTTTTTATTTACTAATCAGATACAGGAGTGTGGCTGTAAACGGTACAATCCACAGTCAGACAGACAACACGGTGTGTGCACCGGCCCTTTCATTCCCTGGGTCATTAACCAGGAGAACAACCCTGACCCCAAAAAAGCCCAGGCTTTGTGGTCTGCAGCTCTCAGCCTTTCCTATTAATACTAAGGATCTGAAGAACTAAAGGACAACATGATTGCTCCTATAAATCCCTGCACAATTTAAGTCCACCTTCAGCACCGTTGAAAGCTGCTGGTCACACATGACCTGTGTGTCGCTCGTGACCTGAGTGACTCAGGGGTTTTTGTCCCCAATTATCACCATCAACCACAGCTGCACATTCACTGAGAGAAAAAGGACAGAATTATAATACAGCTCTGCAAAGTTGGACCCTTCATCACAGCTGCCACTGGAATGTTCTCCCAAACGATTGTTGCCATAGTAACAAATCAGTTCTCTCAGTCCCTAGCTCTACATTTTTAGCACATTAGATGTGTCGAATGTCAGGGTTTGTATGGCATCCGGGGCTAACATACGGCTACAGGGATGAAGGTATTGATAGCAGGTTTACGACTGATGCTGCAGCATAAGTCTAAACCTCCAACTGTAAATTCCTTCAAAAAGGGGAATATTTGTAGTCGATCAGTTGCACTCATTCATGATGATTTCTTTTTTATTTAATAGAAAGCTGAAGCTGAAAATGAATCACCTTTACTGTACTGTATTCATACAGGCGGCAAAGTCCGTCCTTGGTCACCTCTGGGCGCTCCAGTAGAACATGAGGGCATTTTGCTGCTGTGTGGGCTGCAGTGGGATCAGACTGAGCTTTTCTCTACTGATGATGTCCATCACAGTACTTTGGTGTTTTTGGAAATATATATAATTTCCTTCTTTTCTTGTACTGCGAAGCCTGCTCTCACCAAGGTAAACACTTCTCTCCATTCACTGCGTGTGTTCTGCAGAGAGCTTTGAAACAGTAGCACGGCTGCGGTCCTCCCTCCTTTACTTTCATCTGTCTCAGACTGGGCTTTATTAGATTTTCAGGAGAGGTTCTTACAACATCAATAGTAATAACATTAGACAGAAGAATTAAATTTGTATTTATTAAAGAGACTGTTGACTGAATAAATAAAATTGACAAGAATGATGTGTATTGTATTTCTGTCAGGACTAATAAGAATTATATGGTTGGGTCTTTAATTACTTTATAATCACTAGCTACCAGCCAGAGAGTCAGTGTGAAGGGAGAGTGTAAAGAAGGCAGATAAACGTCCCCTGGTTTTATCTCCTGTTAGTTTCCTCACCTGATAGTAACAGTATTCATTAGAGTGAAGTGATATGTTGTTTTTTACCATAAATATTTATATCTTCATTTGTTTTCCAATGTTTTTATGTTTGATCTTGGTGAAGTTTTACTTCACTCAAGTGACAAATGAATAATCATCTATCTATCTATCTATCTATCTATCTATC